AACATCGAAGTTATTTTCAGAAAGATTGCGTGCCACTGACGAACCTGAATAAGCAGCAAACTACAAGCGCAACCCGTTCACACTCTCTCAATGTTTTATAATATTAACACAACACTGTGGGTGTCTGCGGACTGCAATTACATTACCGTGTCCATGTGTGAAAGTGTAAATCGAGGCGCCAACAGCACCTACTTGCTTTACTTGCGAATACTTATTCTGAACATTAAATTTTGAATAAGTGTTTTACAATTAATCAATACCTATACATCTATAGTTCGATATGTTTTAAGGTTTCTTTAATTTTATTGTTTTAAAGTATTCACTCTGCATTTTTCTGATCTATGTTTGCTGGGCCATGGGTCAAGGTTTGCTATAGCGAAGGGGCAACGGCAGGCGTTTTTTTTTTATCTAAATTCGGAATTACCCTTATTACCCGTATTATGCAATTTTTATTACAAACATAATGTTTTGATAATTGTATTATGAATTTTTTGTAAAGTAAAAAAAAAAGAATTCATTACCTTAATCTGGACGTAAAAATCGTAAATAAACAATCTCGAATTCATTCATGATTCGATACGTTGCACTATGAATGACCGTTGTAAATTTTCTTTATACTATTATGGCTGCACTTGTGTAATTTTGTAGTTATAATTAATTTACTTGATTCGTATAAAAATAGATGCTAAAATGTGCATAACGGAATCATCAACTCGCTGTAGCATGGAGCAGTCTCTGTTAATGTGATTATATCTCTTGTCTTGGGTGGTCTAGTCATTTAAGACGCTGTTATTTGTCTGTTAATTGATCATTACCTACTATTGGTCATGTTCTAATTTATTCTAATGATTTTGTTTATATATAAACAAAAGAGACGATGATTGATTACTTGTTTTACAATGCGTTTAATTTTTACGAGTGAAAGAGTGAAGTCTAGTGCTAAATACTCTATCGATATTTTGGTAGAAATGTCTGTTCATCCCTATTATGTTATGATTTGCGAGACCTAATGTTTTAATGTTTATGTCTGAAATTTTGCTACTTAGACATCTTCTACGTTAGAAATCTACATAATAAAGATTGTTATGGTACGATTACTATTAGCTTCTAAGAAGCACACGTGCCGAAACGTCTATTATGTATGAATATAGCTCATTGTAATATTTTTCAGCTATTCCATACAGAAGTAGTCACGAAAACATACTCATTGACTATTACATACTAACGTGAAAATACCAAACAGTAACTTGTAAATGTGATGCTATGACGCCATTGCCAGCATCAGAATATTTGCTTTGCGATGTCGATAATATTAGGGTTGTCCAAAAATGTAAGAAGTACTATAATTTAAGTTCTAATTAGTAAGAATAAGTACATGTAGTTTGGTTTTAGTAAACCATTGTGTATAATGCCTAACGAGTGTTTAACAAGATATTAATTGTTATCTAAATTCTTAAACATCGTTAGAGAAGATATATTAGGAATTTTAGACCGTTTTAACTATCTGTGTATTTAAATTGAGTTATCATTCTACTAGCTTTTGTTATAGGTTACAGAATCTTAATAGTTGTATTCATCTTACGCAATTAATCCACCATTTTTCGCGTGAGAGAGACTTATTCTTTATTTTCAATATATCACTAACACTCGTTTCCTGGACCACTTTATGTCATATTCTATCATCCGCAAATAAAATGCAAACGTTTTTTATTTGGTTTTAGTTTCGATGCACGATTGCGATATGATGAGCACGTACCGCCAGTCTGTTATATTACTTCCTAAAGTTATCAATTCGTGTAGAATTGTTATACGTTATCACTTATCATTGTATATTTAGGAATGTTTAGTAAATTATCACCATCGAGTTTTTAATGTAAAAACACTGTACTCTATAACGTCATTATGACACACTAAAAAAGTGTTACACTTATTAAAACAAGTTGATATATTTAAATGTCTCGTTCAAATTAATTATGAATACTTTAAAATTAATTAATACTCAAATGAAGTTTCGATTAGATATTATTTTTAAATACAAAACACCTGACAGCCTCATTTTTTATCTTTACTAATTTAGCGTCATTGAAAACATTTCCGCATTAAATATTTTGTTGCACAAAAAATTATTATATTTTATGACTTGTTTGTTGACGTTTTCTATTAAAAAAATATTGCATCTTAAAATCGTCAGAATAAATGTCTGCTTTTAACTTTATTACATGTTATTTTAGCTAAAACTTACAATTATAAATGTCAATTTACGACATATGAGGAACGGGAACAAAGATATTATTGCGTTACATAAGGCCTCGAAACAATGTTGTTTTAAAAACATATCAATAATTTATATACGGAATCTAACCAGGTTTTGCTTCTAGAAACGTAGTACTGGTACTGTGGGTTAATATTTCCAATACGTTTTTTACAGATGCGTTATTTAATGAGAAAATGTGTTTAACTACAATAAAACAATTTCAATGTTAGTAAATTTTAGGCTAAATGTTAAGACGCTTCACATTTGTCTTAAATTTTCCTGAAGGCATCAACATTTGTTTCAGCTGTTGGTTTTCCTTGTTTGCAGTGTACCAATCATTTTGTTTGCAATAAATTTAATTCATTAAAAATACCACCGCAAATAAACCTTGAAAACTGAATTGCTCGTTTGCTTATGTCACGTGTCTGATACTTTTGGCTGTCATTTTAGGAAATATTGATCTTGACAATTTAAAAAAATTAGACAAGGATTCAAAGCAATTCAAATAAAAAAAAGACAGAAATTAATAAAAAGCATTGCCTTGTGAATTGTCTTGTATGGAGTAATGAATATTTCATAGATGGTTAAACGCAGTGACTTAACGATTATCATTTTAATAAAAGATAATTAATATCTGTGTGAAAACTTTATTGTAATGCCGTGAGATATTTTCAAACTTTCTTTTTTATTATACAGTAGCCAACGTGTTGTGAATACGTTTGTATCTGTTATATGTATGACGAATGTTGGTGTTTAGACTTCTCGTTTACGTTAGTTCAGTTCCAGCCAAAGAACATCAATATTGAAATATTTTATTTTTACTACTATTACTTCCTGTAGATGTTTTTACATTTGTACCAATAAAAGTCTCGTGTTTGTTATCATGGATCAATAAATACGTTTATTACGTTTCTGTGGCTTACATAAACTTCACTGTCCTTTCTATTATAAATACAGAGAATATTGCAGACAATTTTGCAGTTTAACACATTTTCAAATTTTCTACTTTAAATTTACTGAAGAAAGTATGGATGGACTGTGTGAAAGAGGATACGCTTAAGAAGCATAAACGAGCATCCCATACTGTGCTGACCCTCCGTCGGGACATGTGCAGGTTGATGATGCTTTAATAAATTTGCCATTGCCACCAATATCTTTACATAAACAGAGATCCAATTGTGTTTGTATCTTTGTTTTCTAATGAAAATATCTTACCATTCAAAGATGTCATATAAGTACTTTGATATATTATGTGCATAAGCAATGCCAACTTTTGTCTGTCACGTCACAGCAGTGAAAGTGATTTAGAGTAGGCGATAATAGAATTAAACGGTGATAGATTAATCAATTTGTTATTGATATACGTTCAAGAGGGCAATCTCCTCATACTTCACTAGAGCTTGACAAACAACCATGTCACACGAATATTCATGACACTGGACATTCTCTATCAAATCATTCATATTTCAAAGAGGCTGTTATTTAGAAAGCGAAGAAAGTGAATGTTCTACATTACAATGTACCATTTTTTTCTTCACACACTTATCATTTTCAATAGATGTCAACGGCGCAGTCAGTTTGGAATAAATCTGAAATAAACACTTCAAAATGAGATAAAAACTCCTGTTTTTAGGTCAAGAGTAACAGACAAGGCTGTTATTGCATCTTAATTACATTTAGCTTCTAGTGATAAGTATTATATCCTCGGATCTACCGTTGATGTCACTGGCGACAATTTCGTAGAAAAAATTGTTTATTTCATTCAAGATGGTGTCGTTTAGCGGTTACTGTTTGCGGTATTCGTCTAAATCTTAATATCAAACAGGCTGAGTAAACTACGGTTATGAGATTGTTACATAGAGCGTACAACCGGTTATCGTTCAAAAAATTATCGAAACCAATCATCATACTGGATACTACCGGCGCTCTATTTATCATGTGATAAATTTGTATTTAATATATCTGGAATAAAGTAAATAGAAAGTGGAAGAGGATTGGATATCATGATATTCTTTCGAGAGGTTGAGCATTATTGAACTCCTTAGAAATTTTCAGATCAGATCAAAATCAGAAAAATCAGATAGTTTGTTAGGAAATAAAATATGAACAAGTTAGCTGATTAAGAAAAACTACTAATTTTTCAAAAAAATATAAAACTCATGTTTTATATATAACATATTAATTATGCGCCCACCATGTCTTAGGTATAGAACATAGATTACATAACAAAGTTATGATAAAATTGTTGCAAAGAATCTGAAATATTTTCTAATAAATCTGCGATAGAAAAACTTATGGAAATATTCCACATAATGATTATTCTAGATACGTTCGATGTACCAATACTGAGCGCAATTCGATTCAACTCACGTCATTTTTCGTATGGAAGTGGAAATTTTACTGGAGAGAATATAATCGTCTAGTTCTACGTGACTTTCATGATGGCTGCTGATTACCTTATCAAGTGTAATGCAATCTCTTGCACCGTGCTGTCTAAATGTATTTAAATATTTCCATTGCATGGTACACACAAACGACTCGTTTCCAATTTTCTAGATGCTTTTGGATTAAATTTTACTCCCAAATTCAAGAATTTAAGCTTACACAAAATTAATGTTTAACTATAATCGCATAATACGTAAATACAATATTTTGTTTACAGTATAGGTGCTAGACTTTGTCTACCGCCATACTGTGCAAACCAGTGTTGAGAAAAAAAAAACTAATTCTACGTGTTACTTTACAGATGCCTGTCTAAGATGCCAAGGTGAGAGCAAAAAGGATTCCTACGGAAAGCAAGACTGCGTTGTCGTGTGGGGCGAATGCAACCATAGTTTTCACTTCTGCTGCATGTCGCTGTGGGTGAAGCAGAATAACCGGTGCCCGCTCTGCCAACAGGAGTGGTCTATTCAACGAATGGGCAAGTAGACCTGAAGACTGCGTACGTGGATCTCAATAACAACTGTTAAAAGTAGATTTTCTTCTCAAACTTGACGTAATAAACTGCTCTAATCGTTTATTTGTATTTCCTTCCTTATTCCCTTGTTGAGGTTATTTGCCATAACATGTTATTGTACGTGTTTTCATTTTGGTAGACTGAACAAAAGTGTTGCAATAAATAAGTAATCATGAATTTGATTACTTAATCTTTGTTTGCGAAAGTATTTAAAATCACCAATGCTGACCGAGTGACTAAATATGTATTTCACGGAGGCGTGAATGCCATCACGTAGCACTGAGTTTGCATATTCGACTAATAATAGCTTTTTACCATCTATCACCGAGGTGCTTACGTATTGATTATTCTACATGTAAACACTTTCTTCTATTGGAATTACTTTTGTTAATGCCAGAGCTACACAAGGTAAGAAAATTCATGAAAACTGATATAAATAGGAATCTACGATTTACAAAACATTCTGTAACAAGTATAATACTGAAAGAAGTGCGAAAATATCCGTTCCGATGCGGACGATAACAGACGCTTTACTAATTCTTTGTTATCACAAGTCAATGGACTCTTTTACAATGATGATACCTTTGTGTTCTTGTGACAGCCTTACCCAAAAAGTTGTGACGTCAACCAGTATTTACCTTGTGCTAATATAACCTCCAATAAACTTTAAAATAAAATAAAAACTACAAGCGGCGAGCTTGTCATATCTGGATTTGTGTAACTAAAGTACTTTTTAATACTGAAAGTAATGATTATCAAAAAGTTTTCATCTTATGCGGTATGTAGATACATGCGACATATTTAAACTTCTCTAATAAGTATACATATAAGGGTTATTTTCATTGATCTACCAATAAAAATTATACACTGGCCTGGATCGCGGAGGCCTTTGACCTGCTCATGTATACGGCTTCTTAGACAGCTTTGCGTATTACGGTCACATTGGTAGTAGACATCGCACGACTGATCAAAAGATCACCTCATGTAAGAACAGATAAATCACGTAACTCCAAACAGTCGTTCATCATGATTAGTGGCTCTTGTCGCCTCCTGTTTGTTTCCGTGTAATTGAAAGCTATTAAACATGCAATTGTTTACTACATTAATCATCTGCATACTATTTAATGTCTATCTTTGTTTTACTATGACGTTAATGTTATTGATAATTGTTTAACTTGTGTACGCTTATCATAATTACTTGTTTTAGACAATTTTTATGAATTGTCTAGGAATGATGTAGTAAGTTATGAAGATGTGAATAAAACGTCATATTCTGTATAAAGTATTTCAATACATAATTTACCCGGCGTTCTTACGGTGAAGGAAAACATCGTGATGCAACCTGCACATATCAGCGAAGAAATTCAAAGATATGTGTGAAGTCAACCAACCCGCACTTGGCCAGCGTGGTTGACTATGGCCTAGTCACCCTAATTTTAGGGTAGGCTCCGAGCCCCTCGGTGGGGACGTATGTGAGTGAGCTGGTGATGATGATTTCAAAATTGCCATTATAAAACAATTGTCTGCAAAAATTGCCAACAAACATTAAAAAGTTTTCCATACCAAATAATGTAAGTGAATAAAAATTTTATAATCCAGAAAAAAAGTAAATTTATGAGATTTCCGCCCAGCAACATATAGATTAAGCAGATATCGTGCAATTTTTTTTGTCGTTAAGATCAAGACGTGTAATGTAATGCCATGATTCTTTACTTTTTTGCATTTATTTAAAAAAATAGTTAAAGACAATACATGTTAATCTTAAAAGCTAAAGTTAATTTTTCAAATTAAAATCAGACTAACGTTTTATGTCCAAGGGCATTTTTTTAACTCTAGTTTCTAACTAATGTTAATTATGTAAATGTCTTATTCATATATCTTAAACATATTCATTCTATTCAATTCTATCTCAATTTTTAACTGAATTGTAAATTAGTGGATGAAATCAAACCAAATATTATTTAATAATGATTTTTAATCGATAATGGTATCGGCGGCATCTTTAATTGATTCCTAGATATTAAATATAATATCTTAGTAACACAGGTAATACAAAATTATGATAAAATCTTATGTTTATTTTAATGGCAAATACAGTTTTCTACAAAAAAATTGTCACCATGATAAGTATTTTTTTTATTTGAAACATTTTGTAATGACGAAAGATGATTATCGAATAATACATGATTTTCCAAGAACTATACTTTTTTTCCAAACAATATATTATGGTTATTTTATTGCTTATTTTGAATTCAAGAAGATGAATGATATGTAAATGATAGATCAATTAATTTGCTTTTCAGAAGAGTTCAAAGTAATAGTAGGCATTGTATTACGTGCGGACATTTATGAATAACATAGTAGTTATTACGTTCATTAACTACGGTCAATTTATCATAGACTAATCGATGACGAGAATGTCAAATCAATTGTGAACATTAAACGAATGGCACAGCCATCGATCTTTGTCCTTTCATATTCTTTATCCCTTGTCCGTTTGTTGTTATAAATTGTGTACTTCGTAGGATCTATTATGAGCTCCAGTGAACCGGTTCCGAAAGGCGCTGCAGACCGGTCTCGGTTTTTCTGTCCCGACCTGATTGCTAAGTATAGCCCTGTCTCCCGACGTAGAGCAATACATCTTAAGCCTACGGTTTACATATGGATAAATATAACTACAGACTGCAACTCCTGTATTACATCTATCTTTACTACTTTTTTTTCATGTGTCTTATCGTAATTTAAAAAATCAATACATACAAATAAATACCTTCTTGCCATTTGTAAAGCCGTAAGACGAAATTAAAAAAAAGAAATCTCCAAGGAAATTGGATTTTCTTACTTATTGCTCTATTCAGAAATGTGACTAGAATATTATTTTTAATTCAGAAAATCATGTTTAATGAGTTTTCCCGTAACCTAAATATTTGCGCTACGCAGACGCTTTGCTCGAAATTGCACATGTATAAATTATCTAATGAAAATAGTTTAAAAAGATCCTTTTAACTATGTATATGGATGTATAGATTAAAAGCAAACGACAATGTCGTTTGTTTGAAAACTAAAGTCTTTGTCTGCTTATCCCATTACGCGTAGATCGTATTATAATGTAAATGAATGTTCTCAATGAATGTTATCGGAAGCGTATCGGATGATATCATGACTTCTACTGCATAAGGTTTTAAGGACATATGACGTCATACTTTTAACAGCGTGCTAAGTACTTCTGGTAATAAAAAAGCACACATATCACATTGTAAACTGACAGGGATGATACTCCTTGGTAAGATAATAATTCTGATTTTTTTTCTTTATATCATTTCATTATAGGAATAAAAATTATTATAAGCCTTATTGAAAAATACAAACAAGAAAACTGTATTTTTCATCATCAAATTGGACTATTCCATAAATATCTATTTTGTTGGTTATTTTACTATTTTTTATAATTTACGAATATATTAACACTAATCTATACTATTTTATTTTTGAATTTATGTATGTATTAAAATAACTCATAACTACTGGACCGACTTTAATAATTCTTACACCGTTAGAATTATAATTTATCTGTAAGTAACATAGGCTGCATTTTTTTTAAGGTCAGGCGGACGAAGTCGAGCAACAGCTGGTATTAAATAATGAAAAGCGGCCAGTTTTATACTTTTTATATTAAGAGACACTATGTGTTTTACACGTGCTGTTATGGAATAGATTGCTTTTTTACAACTAAGATATTTGAATCCTTTTTTGTTACAGATCTGTCTTTTTTACACGCATCTAGTATACTGTATTGCTATGTAGCCGCTTTAGGTTGCGTAATCCAACTCCTTTAAATTCTCTTAAAGAATTCGTTGTACCAATTCCGTGAAGCTGAAAAAAATGTAAGGAAATCTCCATTTTACCTATAGAACAATTCATTCAATATCTAATTGACTTCGAAGTATCAGAATTCCAACTTTTGGAATTGAAGGTAATTCTTTGATGCCGACATATTCTTGTTATTAATATTGCCTACTTTTGAGATTTTTCTCCAGCAGGGTCTTCATTTAATCTGTTTTAAGGAAAGTCCATTATCGTGTCTCATATCGCTGTGTAATAAAAAGGGTAATAAATTTACATTAAACAAAAAAAACCCGATAATTCTGAAGTGAAGAGTAAACAAATCGTGATAATGAATGCAGACTTATCACACTAACGTCATAATATTTTCTATGTCTTTTCCATAACTCTGTTATTGTTTTATATTTTATCTGCATTAATATGTAAAAGTATGAGATTGGAGCTCGAAATTAATTACCCTTAAATCGACGGAGTTAGTTTGTAGCAAATATATTTTTTATTTATCATATTTATGGGTATGAAATGTGATGATATGAATAAGACAGATTTTTTAATATTTTGGATTTTTTTAATTTTTGTATGTATTAAAATAACTCAAAAACAACTGGACCGATTTCAAAAATTCTCGACCATTAAAATGCTATTTTATATCTGAGTAACATAGACTACATTTTTTAATTTCACGCAGGCGAAGTCGCGAGCAACAGGTAGTGTGAGATAAATAGAATTCTGCTCCATTATAATTCTACCAATTCATAACATTGTATCCATAGTGTATACATATATATTAACTACTTTGAAAAGTAAACTTCCTTACAATGTCTGTTCTAAATGGAAAATTACAACATGAAGACGTAATTTTTATGGTAAATAAATATTTATGATAAATCTGATAAATAATACATATTTTAATATTATGAAACAAATATGAAATTCAAATAATATCATAATATGTATATTTACTTATGAATTATTCACACGGAACAATGCAATGGGCATGTACTTCAGTAATGCATGATGCCGCATGTATTCTAATGTTTATTACCTGCATTAGCATATTAAATATTTACACTGAACAACACTAGCTACATATCCCGGCTTCGCACGGATCAACATTGATTTTTTAAACATTTTGTAACAGTATTAAACACAGCCTATGTTACGTTAGGAAAATATAGTATTCTATTAGTTAATGAATTTTTGTAGTCGGTCCAGTAA